AGAAAAATAAATAAAAATGTTCATTTTTTGTTAGCACTTTCTTTGGTTAAGATTTATCAATTTCTTTGATCAAACATTATCACTTTCTTTGACAAAAATGTCTTTTTTTCATCACTTTTTTTATTTAAAAAACACCAGATATCCTTTTCTTGATCTACATCTCTCATATAACACAAATTGCCTCAAATCAGTATTCAGTAACAGTAGGGCATTGTTCTGGATACAAGAGTTGTTTTTGTCAAGTTTTCTTCCTCCTGATCATCACTTTAAGTTTTGTGGTTTAGGGCACCACACAATACTCTGTCTGGTCCACAGAGTACGGGAAGTTGGCTTGAATCAACCTTCCCTATCTTCAGACCTGATAAAAAGAGTTGGAGTTTTTCTATTCTCCTTTTCTTTTGTTTTTATTCTTTAGTTTCATTTTTTTTTTCCCTTTTCCCTTCTTTCTAATTTCATCTCTAATCATTTCCCCAGTCATAATCCACAAGAATCACTCAATTTAGTAGAAGAACAACATACTATTACTAGATATAATCTAGTGTTCTCATACACACAGAACAAAAATCTCATTATTCTTCACTTCAGTTTGCAATGTTAAATTCAATTACATAGCACTTAAGAAACATCATGTCCTCCAGGCTCTCAAATTGGTTGGGATCGGCGAATTTGAAGGAGTGCGGGCCACTTTCAAGGGGCCTCCCTCCTGAGCGGGTCCCCAGCCCCCGCGCGAGAAAGTTGAACTTGTCGCGAGCCTTGCCGGGGTTTCACATGCGTTTATCTCGCTTTGAGCGCTGGCGAGTGAGATGTCACGGCTTCCTCCTTTGAAACCTAACTAGGTTTTGCGTCTCGGACTGGTGAGAGTATCGCTTGGACTTGCAACCGCCCAGTGAGCCCACCAGCCAGACTGTATCGGCGGGTGTCCACCCCAACATTCTATCCGGCTTTCCCTCTCCACCCGCTCGGCATCCCCATCAAGAACCTCACCGGCTCGTCGATATGTCATCCGCTCGTCTGCCACCAGCCTTGGCTCCCACCGAGGAGGACATCAGTCTCCTCCTAGCTGCCCAGTAAGTAGCACCTATACCACCCTCCTCCCTCTTGGTTTTCGCCACCCTCAAGACTCATCACCATCCTCGCCCATTTTATCTCCAGATGTCACATTGGAAGCAAGAACTGCACGAAGGGCATGGAGCGATACGTCTACAAACGCCGAGCTGATGGTGTCAACGTCATCAACATTGGTCACACCTGGGAAAAATGTCCGCACACTCTCCATCTGAGGTTGTCTTACAGTGCATCGATATCCATGAAAACAGTACGGCTGATTCTCCATTGGCTCAAATTCCCTCATCAGTGATCATGGCCGCTCGAATTATCACCGCCATTGAGAACCCCAACGATGTTTGCGTCATCTCAGCTCGTCCCTACGGACACCGAGCTGTCCTCAAATTCGCCGCCAACACCGGGGCCCAAGCCATCGCTGGTCGTTTCACTCGTCAGTATCAATCCTGACTCTCTATCCCGTTTCAAGGTCTAGATGATTGAAAAGTGTGCGATTTGGAAACAAACAAACAAAAACAAAATATTCAGCCGGAAACTTCACCAACTACATCACCCGATCCTTCAAGGAACCTCGTTTGATCGTCGTCACCGACCCCCGTCTGGACGCCCAAGCCATCCGGGAAGCCTCCTACGTCAACATTCCCGTGATTGCGCTCTGTGATACGGACGCCTCATTAAACTTTGTGGATGTTGCGATCCCGACGAACAACAAGGGCAAACACTCGGTCGGTTTGATCTGGTGGCTCTTATGCCGAGAGGTCCTCCGACTCCGAGGCACCGTTGCCCGATCTGGCGATGGCGCCTGGGGCGTCATGCCTGACATGTTCTTCTTCCGTGATGCCGAAGAGATCGAGGCTGAGGCCGCCGACAAGGCTGCTAAGCTGTTGGAAGAACAAGGCGGAGCTGCCCTCGGTGAGAACCGTGCCGTTGACTGGGATGTCGCCGGTCCCGGTGCTGGTATCGTCGCGGCTGCTGCTACCATGCCCTCGGTTGAGGTCGACTGGACTGCCCCTGAGGCCACAACTGATTGGGGTGAGTTGACTAACATTTTCTAGTTCTGCAACTGGTCAACTTTTTTTTTCCTGATCTGGGCTTTCCTTCCTTCACTCTTGTAGCTGCCGCCGACACTGGTGACGCCCAATGGAACGCCTCCGCTCCCGCTGCTGACGCCTCGGTGAGAGATTATCCAATTTCTCTCTCCCATTCTGATAATACTGACAGGCTATGGGTTGGTTATACACAGGGCTGGTAAACGAAAACGCAAAAAGTGACCAATTCAGACTTTTATGACATCTCGATCGATCCATTAATGTTTGCACATCGTCGCTTGTTTTTTGCACCCCATCTAAGTACAACATGTCCCTGAAATTGGATTTATTTGTTAATCACATATCACTTCGCCATTTGCCTCAAGCCCAAGACATTGAAAGTTACTAAAGAAGCAACTGTTTGGTCTGAGAATGTTACCCAAACCCGCATTTCTCTCCAGCTCTACAATTTCTGGAGCGGAGGGTTTAAGCTGCCTTGTAGTCTGCCGTGACAATCTTTGCAGGGGGCGGTGAAAAATATGCTGTGGATCGTGACATCCATTCCAGTCATATCACCATGTTCCTGAGAAAAGACTGCCGTATCTCTGGTTCTGGTTAGTGTCACGTCCTTGACAAGAAAACCATTTGGGTCTTTCTGGAAGCATAAAATGCCAATGAGGCTTGCACTGAAATGTGAGAAAATCTTGACTGGAAGTGCCCTTTTTTGTGTTCTTTCTTGCAACCCACACTATCCCACATGCAGAAATTTGTGGGTATCCAGTGAAGAATATATGAACAGCTTGCTTTATTTTAGTTGGCCCCCATGTTGTTGTATGATGTACTTTGATGTTCACAGGAGAAAAGTGAATGATGCTTTATTTTGGAGGTTTTTTTTTTTTTTTTTTTTTGGGGGGGGGGGGGGGGTTGTTTATCTCGATCCTTTCCTTCTCGATCGGAGCACTCTGAATTGAGGACGGCCGGCTTCGATCGGGGAAGCAGATGGTATCATCATTTCATGGCGCGAAAGAGTTAAGCGAGTCTCGGTACATAAATATGTAGTGAGAGTCGATCTCCACCAATCAAGATGCTTCTTTTTTCAATAACACGTTTGTGTGGATCTTCATGATGGATCTCGAACGGGTGATCAGGGACACAAGGACAGCAGCCGGCTTCGAGGACGCATTCTTCGTTGTCCAGCTAGCGGGCCCCGAACTTGATCGTCGGCCGCGTCCAAGGCTCTGGCTTCTATTGTATGTAGGTCTTGCTTGGACCCTACTTGTCCGGCCGCCCATACCCGGTCTCGCCCACTCGGTCGGGGATCGGCCGCGGGCCAAGCCCTGCCGTTATGTACGTGACTCACTTCCAACACAATGTCCTGATTCCAGACTCCCCTCGTGTGTGTGTGTGTGTCTTCACAGACTCGATTGAATCAGATAAGCAGTCTAGTCACGTGTCCCCACTGTTAGTCAGTATTACGGAGAGAGCATTATAGGCGATCTCGGTCTATCTATTTTGGGCTTTCCTTTTCCTTCAGACCACCTGAACCTCTCTCTGGTACATCTTCGACCGAGTCACCATTACCAACTAAAACAACTGATGCAGAAGAAGACGGAAGAATGTAACAAAAAAAAGGTGAGATTAATGGGAAAGGCAATACAAACCACGAAAACAAAAAAAAAAGATGACCAAGGGAAGGAAATGTATATCTATAAGAAACAATGGGGACGATAGGAGAGAGCTCGCGCAGGGCGATGAATGATCATCTCTACGGCCCGGGACTGTGAAGGTTTTGACGACCGTGTTGATCCTGCTGCTGCTGCTGCTCCTCATGATCTTGGTCATCCTCGTCATGAGATTGCAAGGCTTTGAACGAGTTGCGCGGATCGTCTCTGGCACGCTCGCGGCGATAGCTATTGAAATCAAACAACTTCAACTTCGAAAACCCTTTTTTTTGAGGGAGAGAAAGAGAGAGAGAGAGAGAAATGAAGATCAGGATGCAATTTGTTTTTTTTGAGATGGGAATCCAAAAAAAAAAAAAAGTGTGTGTGTGGAAGTATATATGAAGGGACAAACCGAGTTGTCGGAGCTCTTTGTTAGTCGTAAGATAGTAGAACGGCAGGCCTGAAATAATAAAACCTACAAAAAACCACCACACCAAAGAAGAAGAAGAAAGAAAAAAAAGGAAAGAAAGAAAACAGGGTGAGTGGGAGAGGACATTGATGGAGAGAGATTGCGGGGACGCGGACGGACCGAAGGCGGCGAGAGATTGGATCGGGGCGGAGAAGATGGGCATCAAGAGCAAGAAAGAGGCCACTGTTGAGAAGGTTATTGGGTTGATCAACCACGTCTGGTATGGCCTTGATCAATCACAAAAACAAAAAAAAGAAGACATATCTCTCAGTACTGCTGCTCAAGAATAAGAAAAAAACAAACAGAATAGGGGCTAGGGTTACCTCTCTAAATCGGGCTCTCTAACCCTTAATAATAGCAACGATCCAACAGTCAATAAATAAAACGTCCATGCACATGTCCCATAAAATCCTACTAATGACTTTTGGTCCGACAGGACACCCACAACTTATGAATTTGATACTAAGCACATAGAAGGTTAAATGAGATGTGGACAAGACGTACTTTGAAATCTCCGAAACTGATCATGATTATCGTCAAAAAAGCGTTTAATCCCTACGCACATCAATTGGAAAAAAAAAAGAATGATGCGGATTAAGATTTTGATCGGTAGAACGGGAAACGGATGTTGATGGGTAGCGTACCAGAGCGTTTAGAGGCGTTAGAGTCTTCTGATTGATGTTGGAAAACACTTTGGGAATGTATCTGGAAGAAGACGAGTAGAGAATTAGTTGATTGTAAAAGTGAGACGATTTGAGTGACTGACCGTTCTTCAGCTGCGACGGAGACCAATCTCGAAGTAGTAAAGACCGAGCCTATGAATCAAAGACGAGAATTGGATTATTAATGGGACCAAACGAAAGAAAAAAAAAGAGGAGAAGCAAAAGACTGAACTATTAAGAGCGCCGAAGCAAGCGAAAGCGACGATGAGGGAGAAGACGAAGCTTCCGATAGGGCCGAAGATGACTCTTCCAAACTCGAGCCCGATCGTGTTGGATTGGGTGACGACCTCCATGGGCAAGACGATCAAGTAGGACCAGTTGGTGAGGATCATCAAGCTGAGCACGATTCCCATCGAGCTGTGGATGACGATCGGCAAGGTCTTGCTGGCTCTCTTCAGTTCGCCTGCGATGTAATTTCTGTACTTGAGAAGCTCGTCTTTAAATCAGTGGTTTATTGAAGAAAAAAGAATGGATGAACAGATGAAGATGGTAGAATAGAAGTACCCGGAATCCCAGCCGTCGAAAGCCCATAAACCGGAATACAGAGCCGAGGCCAGATCGCTGGACGAAGTAGAAGAGTTTTTGAACACCTGGTCGGGCTGGAAGTTAGCGGATTGCTGGTGATTGGCCAGGCGGACGAGGGCCATGATGATGATGGCGAGCAGCGAGAGCAGCTTGATGATCGTCAGCACTATCGGCACGTGTTTGCCCGCCTTGACAAAGAACCCGTTGATCGCACTGATCGTCAGCAGGATCACGATCGCCACTAGCTTCGTCACGATCGTCGGAATCGCTTTCGCCGATTCGCTCGGCGACGCTTTGAAGGCTGTACTGTAGTCGTGCAAGCTCTTGGGGTTAGCTCCGCTGACTCTTCTTCCTCTGCGTCGGTCCGGTTCCTTTTCTCTTCACACAATACATTCGGGTCCTGAAAAAGTTGAAGAAGAAGAAGAAGAAGAACTGACTAACTGATATAATATCCGACATAGATATTCCGACCCAACGATCGAGATGATCGCCGCCGAACCAGGCTATAAAAGAGCATGACCCCAAAGATATATAAGAGATCGATCTCCATCAATGCGTTTAAGAGAAAAAGAGAGACGAACTTTTAAGGCGACCAGATTAGTCCAAATGAACAGATACGAAGCCCAGCCGCCGAAGGAATGATTAAGATAGGCTTGGGCGCCGCCATTGACAGGGATGGCTGCGCCCAGCTCGGCGAAACAAGAGGCGCCAGTCCAAGCCAAGATGCCGGCTAATAGCCAGACGATCAGTGAGGCGCCAGGGCTTCCGCAATTCTGACCTAATTATCAATCCAACAAACACCATAAGAAATATGTTTTCTGTTTGTAAAGAAGGGGGGGACTGAACTGAGGATTCCGGGGGAAGAGAAGATGCCGGATCCGATCTGACTGGAGACGACGAGTGCGATGGCCGAGGTGGAGTTGAGAGACGGCAAGGAATGCCGGACGGTTTCGAAGCTGTGGGTGAGCGGGAGGAGGTTGGAGGAGAAGATGAAGCTGCGTTCGCCGGTGCTGGCCGCCCTGAGTCGCCCTGCTGGGCTCTTGGAGGAGGTGGAAGATCCAGAGGGCTCTTTTCGCAGCAGGCCGATCGTCGATGAATGTTCCTCGTCGTCTTCTCCTCCTCCTGGACGTGGGTGCAGCGGTCGGTCGGAGTATACGAGGATGTCGTCTTCGGAATCCGTGTCTGATGAATCTCCTGTGGCTCCCTCATTCGGTGCGCTTTCTTCTTCTTCATTCCTGCTCTCTGTCAGTTGGTCGTCTTCGTTCATCGTGATGGGTGTTAGGTTGGTTGGTTCTTGGTTGTGTTCCGTTTTGCTTTTGTATGCTTGAGCATCCTGTGTTGCTTGTAGTATCAGCTGTGGTGGAGTGAGGGTGTGTCTGCTCTAGTGAAATTCATTAAATTCATTTTCCTTCAGTTTCCATCTAAACCCTGGGATTCCCCTATGTTCACTGGGTTCCCACTGGAAAACATCAGCTCACCATCAACGGCCAACACACTGCAACTGCATATAATAACATCCCCAAACTATGAAGTGCTCCATATTCACTGCTCAATCAACATAGGATGACCCCACATTTCATCCATCACATTGAGACAATCCTTGTCTACAGACTCACTCCAATATAATAGCTTCCAATCCACCATCACTTTCTGATCTTATTATAGCAGACATCCATCATAGGATCTTTTTCCGCCTCATTTCCTGTCCATTTGATCAGCAGGCCCATACATAAATATTAGTATCATCCCAGCAGAGAGCTAAGCCATAGAGCTTTCTTGACAGATTTGAAAACACTTGAAAACAATACTGCAGGGAATGGGTGATGATTGCTTCTCCTATGGAGAGTTGTCCCAGTGGGATACAGACTCCGTTTGAGAGCTTCAGTTTGAGAGGCTTTGGGGAGCTATGTAGTGTATGAACCACCCAGCTCACACCATCCTCTCTTTATGTAAATTCACCCAACAATAGCCGACCTGTATCTGGGTTTACAAGCCAATTCTCTGTCTTCATTCTTTCATCATTGACCCTGTCATACTAGCTTTCAGACCAGTCCTTGAATAGTAAAGAAACCCTATGTAGGAGAATCATGTATATTTACATAACCCTCTGACCAGACTCAGAAATCAAACATCCCCCCCCCCCCCCCCCTCTGGAACAGGTTACATTCTTCACATGAGAAGGCAAGCCCGAAACCATGGGTTTTGCAGAGTCTGAGAATAGGGCTTGGAATGGATGGCTATAAGAAGTAAGAGGAGGAGTACTGGGTTCTACTTTACATCTACAGAACCAAGCTACTCTTGGATTTGATCATGAATTGGCTCAGATTGATTTTCTTTGGGATGCCATTCAGCTCCATCAACCTGGTGATTGCCACTTCACCTGAAGAAGCTCTACCTGCAAGGCATTGGAATGATGATGCAGAAGTCTTGAATTTCAGGTTTGAAGACTTTGATTTCAGGATCTTAGATTCACCAGTTCAAACTCCTGAACACAAACCAATTGAAAATGTCTCACAGCTGTTTCTTCCAAACCAACGTTCATGTAACTTGAACAAATCAGATGGTGAGATTGTTTTGTCCACAGTGGGAAGCTCCTTGAAAGAAATTATGAACTCCCTTGGGGCAATTTCAACAGGCAGGGGTTTTGGTTTTTTTTTTGTTGAGGGGATGGACATACAGTACACTGGCCAACTGGGATCTATTGCTGATTAATGTTTGGGTTGTTTTTTCAGGCTTAGATGTGGTTGGAAGTCATGTTATTGGTTACCCTAGTGAACCATTTATTGAAACCATGGACTGCTTCATTCCATGCATTGGTGATGAAGCTAAAAAGAAACGTGAGCAGAATATAGTTTACCCTGCATTCCCCTTGAAATTAGTTGTTGATCAACTTTGAGTTGTGATACCTGCCTGTTCAGGAACATATCATGCTACCACCAGACCAGATAATGAAAGTTCTTGGGAAAAAGAAGTAGGATTGAACAAGAAGACAAAGGTTGATCAGCAAATACAATTTGAGGATCAACATCATCAAGCTCAGGTTTCAAATGAAGACCAGAAGGATATTGGAAGGGAATATTTCCAAGAAGATAGCAAGGATGAAGGCAAAAATATCCATTTGTGTAAAGGGAGGATCAATAGAATTGATCAGTACAAGCCCTTTGGATCAGATCATTTCAAGAGCGTCATTCGCCGAGCAGCTGTGGCCCTTCACAGACAATGGCCAGCTGATTTACAAGCATACAAACAATTTCAAACTCAGATAGATGAGAGATTTGAGAATTTGAAGCAAGTTTCCCAAAAGTATTTGCCCTGCAAGTCATCTGATGTGATTAAAATTGAAGGTTTGCCTATCATCCTTGAAAGTTTGAAGCAATCTCCAAAGGGTGAAATTTGCTATGATACCTTTATCAAACTGTCACGTCATTCAGAGGACAAATGGGGAAGAATCAGGAAGAAGGCTCAGATTCAATACAAAATTCAGAAGATCGGAGAGGCCTTGAATTCTCTGCATAATCTGGTTGGTTTGAATGGTCTGGACTTCAAAATCATTGGAAAACATGAACATATGCATCAAGATCTTCTGGATTGGTTTGAGGGTCTCATCTTCAAAAAAACGGAATCCCAGTTTCCTCTTCTGGGTTTAGTTCAACTCAATCCATCATCAAGCATCTCGAAAGCTTCATTCAACTGCCCTCAGATTTATCTCGCAAGTGCGCTCACTGATCTAACCTCAATCAACAGAAAAAAGGCCATTCAAATCGCTTTTGAGTTGATAAGATATTGGTATCAAGAAAAATCCTCAACAATAAATAACTACCATCTATCTGATGAAGAATATTGGAAGCTTATTTCTCATGCAGTTAAACCATATTTCACCTCTCCAGTTGAATGATTAGTACATAAATTCAGAGTTCATGTTAATTGAAACTTTGATGTAAAACCTGTGTTGTTGATTCCTGGAATCAATATCCAATTTGCCTTCAAAATAACCCACACATTCAAGCTGATTCCTAATTTCATTTCCTCAATCTTTGCTGCTTGATTTTCATTAGTCTCTTGATTTATATAGTGTGCTCACTTCACTCCATTTCATCAATCAACATTATCTAATTCAGCTCTAATAAAATCATTTCCCATTCTGATCCTCTCTATCTTCCTTACACCATTTCATGTCTTTGATCATACTAGGGGGTATCAAATGTGACAGATCCACCATTATAAACCATTCAATCATCCAAAAAAATTCTCTTTCTCACAGTTTTGTCCCCAAAGAAGGAAGAAGAAGAAATTTTTGAAAAATAGTGGGTTTTTCAAACCCAGTCATTGGTGGATTTGCCTCCAAATGATACCCGCTATTGGATCTCTTTTGCTCTTGTATCAGCAACCAAAATCTAGACCCAAATATCAAATTCTTGATATCATCAATGATGGGCCAGCTACACCAATGGTGGCATTAGTGCAGCATAATGTAGCAGAAGTCCGCTAACAATTTGCATAGCACAGCATATTTCTTCTGCATCTGTGCTACTTCTAAATGTGAGGGCCACATAAAGTGCTTGTTAAGCTGCAGCACAGCACATTTGAGGTTTAGTTTTTTTTTGCTACTAAAATAATTGTAGTGTGGTGCATAAGTGGCACTAACAGTGCAAAAAAAACTACAGAGTCAGTCCACTGCTTCAATGGGCCAATACATTGACAGCATCAGTACTATCATACACATGAATGTCTTTGAAATAAACTTAACTTTGTCCTTTGACTAATTTGAAAGTAAGGTGGTGACTTGGCTGTGTTGCAAGCAATTGACCACACCTTCTCTTGACAGATGTGGATAGCCTGGTAGAATCAGTCTCTTGTAATTGGATATCCCATTGAAATACCCAGTGTCTCTTTGGGTGACCCTGGGATCTTGCTGGGGACAGCGAATCTGACTGGATAATTTTCTGGCAATATCAAAGGGCTGGGCT